TTGGCCCACAGGACCTGCCAGCGGTTGGCGTTACGGTTTTTTCAGCACATGACATCGAGCCGAGAGTGGGAACACACAAAAGTGAAGGCACCATAGACTGTGGTGACCAATTGAAATAACGAACGGATCTCAAAAAATTTCACTTTACTTATCCTTGCTATACCTGCGTTGCCTTCTTTGGCTGTCTAAAAGGCTAGGTATGTGCATATGGCTCTGGGACTGTTCCAGCGCGTGCGTGCAAAGCTTTTGCAGACCGCGCCGGCTGGCCGAGTTCAGGCTCCAAGCTCACGGTGACACGTCCTTTTGCAAGGCAAGGAGCTCTTCTGGCGAAAGATCATCCTCGCCATCCACACGCTTCACCTCCTCACTGAAGTGCTCGGCCAAAAGATCTCTCAGATTTTGCTGGTAAAGTGGGTGTGTCGACTGGGACAAACATTTGATGGCGTACATGTCGATGACATTGTTCAAGAACGCCATGTGGGCCTTGTTCTTCGTGATGCCCAAATATGGCAAATTCTGCTTCATTGCCACCTTTGCCAAGCACCCGCTGCCACTGGAGAGGTCGATGATGCACTTTGCATTCGTCATGCTCAGCACCGCTTCCCAGAGGCTCTGGCTCCTGAGTCTGCGTTGATGCAGTCCAATGCATTTGCTTGCAGTCTTTTGATTAGGACCCGGCATTAAAATTAAAAACATCATCAACACAAACGTGCGGCGTGAATCCGAAAAGCAACACGAACAATATGACGTACCGAGAATCTTGCTCTCTTGCCACAGAAGTGGCACACCAGCCCGGCTCCATGCTGCCGGCTTTGAACCACTCTTGTTTTTGCCCATGACCTGCTCTTTCTCAGTCTCAAGCATCCTTGGCAAACTTGGTAGCGAGGGAAGCTCAACGCCCAAGAAGCCGGTGTCATAGGTACTGATACCATCATCGCCAGCACCTTTCTCCACATATTTGTCCTGATGGCAAGGCATGTACGATGGCACAGGTCTCAAGTCTTAAAACAACCCGTTGTTCAGTTGAACATGTTGAGCCCTGTTCCTGGCGGGCTTGTGTAGTCAATCGCACCCGGGCCACATTAGACTTCAGGTAGCCGATTTCTTTCGACATGTGGCCACCAAAAACTCGTCGCCCTGGCCGCGCAGCAGCACGGTAACCGATCCACAACTCAGTCGTGGTAGAGGTGTTCTGTGTCACTTTCAACTCCTCATCCAAGAACCGGCGGTTGCTCAAAGACCGACCATCCCAAACAAGCACGAAATCAAATGGCTTGTTTGCATTCGCCAGCATCCACTTCAAGAGGTTCTTGGCCTCGGTCTTGTCCGACAAGCTGCCAACGGAGCTCCATGGAGACAACTGGCTCTCTTCAAGCAAGTCCGTCGAAAGAACCCAAAGCCGATGTGCTTGATTCAGCTCTCCGCTGAAAGACTTGACGTCTTCAGCCAAACTCTTGTTCCACAACCCATCGAGGTCGGCCTCAGTTCGCGCCGGGGCCAAGTTGACGACCTTCTTGCGCAATGCCTGCGCCTGTCGCCAAATCTCATCCCTCTCCTTTTGCCGTTGCTCACCTAGTGTAGGCAACAAGATGGAAAACAACAAAAATAATGAGGAACAATCATGAATCCGGCAGAACCATGAACGATGGAAATGTGCATTAAGAAGCGATCAAGGCACGATGTGTGGCCATGTCTGCGTCAGGGTCGCTGGACATCCTGGCAAGAGTCCGCACACTCATGGTCGGGGCCCCTTCCTCAGAGATCTTGACAATTTCAGAACCCTTCCCCAGCTCAGCCATGGCTGCCGTCCACTCTTGGTGAAGAGCAAGGTTGGAATGAGGGCCCTCTGCATCATACAGCAAATCCGTGACACCCGGCTTCCTGCCAACGCGCGGCCACTGCCACTGCTTTTGGTCACCCGAAAAGAGGGTTCCCAACATCAAAAAATGGGCGCTGAACAAACCAAAATCGAGAATGTAGCACAGCCAAGCTTCTTCGCCATTTTGATGAAGTCTTCATCATACTCACTGTAGTACAGGGCAACTGCCAAGCCATACCACCGCTTAGTCGCTCCCACAAAGCTGGGCCCATGTTCCGAATCCTCCTCTTCGACCGGATACAGAGCATGGAAGCTCAAAGGGCTGCGGATCGCTTGCAAGGCTTCCAAGAGCGGCTTCGAATCAACCTGCAGGTTCTGGACCACGTGAATCATGTGCTCCAGCAGCAAGTACTTCGATAAAGTGACATGGTACCAGCCTCCTGAATCTTTGCCAGAGTCCACATTCTTGGTCGTGAAAAAGGTTGGCTGCGCTTGCTTCCGCTTCAAGGCAACATAAGCAGCCTGAAGCACCCAAAGGATTGCATCTTCCACAACCTTGCCATGCGGCAACAAAACCAACCACAGCAGCAAATTGGGGATTGAAAATTGAAATTAGACTGACTCTTCAGTTGAAGCATCGAAACCAAAAATTCGCTGCGCTGAACCAGCCAAGCTGCATCTGCGGGCAAGGATGCTGCAATCTGAGACAATCGCACCAGCTTCACATAGCCGGAGTTAAAGACACCAGTGCCGAACTCTGAGTCGATCTTTTTCAGCACCGCTAAACTCTCTGACGAAAAGCGTCTCATGGCCACAACAGCATTCACCAAAGCTCTGCTTGCCACGCTACCCCGGAAGCAGATCTCATTGTCACGAAGCCACTTCTCTTGGTCAGCTGGTTTTTTGCTCGGCGCTGACTTCAAAAACTCGTTGACTTTGGCCGCCCAGTGAGACCAAGTGTCTGTCAGCTCTGCAGCAAAGGAGTAGTCCTCTGAGGCCAACAAACTCCGCTTCAACAAGTGGGTCGAATCTGCGCCAGCAATGCACGTCAAAGTGACACTCAAACCACATTTCCATAGCATCTCAAGGGTCTCATTGTCAGATTGCTGCAAGCACCGGCACATCTTGACCTCATGGAAGCAAACAAACATCATGTGGTTCCGGGTTGGGGGGCACCTGGCTGAAATTAACAACAGTAACAGACCATGGATATGCTTCCCCAATGTCTTAGTTATTGCGCTGGCCTATCTTTATATTGGAAACATCGTGATACCAAACCGAAGCCTCTGCTTTGGGGGTAGCTGGCTGAAACACTGTGGTCATTTACTGGCCCATTGGTTAGTGGAAACACCATGATACCAAAATGAGGGCTCCGTTTTGGGGGCAGCTGTGTGAAATCATCAACCAGCATTGTGTATGTCATCCCGCTTTTTTACTACTTACACTGGCACATTCGTCGCGTAAGGAGGACAATGGTGCCTAAATGAAATCTATGTTTGCGGGTAGCTAGATGAAATAATCTGGCAACTCTGACTCTTGAGATTGCGCCGGCACGTTGGGTAAATTGTCACCAACGAACATATACCAACATGAAGGCTCCGCCTTGGGGGGCGGCTGGCCAGGAAGAAAACCTTGGGTGAAGGCAGCCAAGGCACCCACCATGCGCAAACCATTGCGTGCCCAGCAATCACAAACAAGGTCTTGGGATAAGCGTGCTCTGATACAGCATCGCCTTCGGGCAAGAAGCAATGGATGGGAAAAGGGAATAACATTCTCCGCACCCCATCAAAGTCTTGCGGGACGAAGCGCTTCTCACATTGCAAGATCTGGTCGAAGGTGGGAGGGTCCACGTTCAACTTGCTGTTGTCCAGAGGATTCAGCCAAGTAACCACGCCTCCGGCCTCATACAGGCCACTACGGAGACAAACGGCGGCATTGCTTGGCCGCCACATCTCCTTGTACCTGGGCTGGGAATGCGTAGCCTGGAAAGTTCCGTATGTATCACGCCCCTTCCACATCAAATCCAACCAATAGGGGAAATGCGAAAAACGACGTCTATTTTTGAAGCACGCTGCGCATCTTTGCCTCCCTCTAGGCCAACATCCAAAGGTTCATGCTCATTCAATGCCACAGAAGACGCTTTGGCAAGCTTCAGTTTGTGCAGCTCAGCGGGCAGCTTGGCGGTTACCTCGTCTTGCCAGGCAGGGCATAGCACAAGAATGGCAAAGAAAGTAGCAAACCTGTTTAAGACTTCTTGCAGCCAAATTGCAAAAGGTATCACTTTGCGCAGAACTGCAAAGCCATCAGTCGTCTTGGCTTCTTCTTCCGAGGGCCACTCAACTGCAGAAACAGCAGGCGCGCTCTGCCTGCTTAGGGGCCTTCTGCTTGCTCTCTTCAGACTTAGCTGGGGCCGGTCTCTTAGGGGCCATGCCAAAAGCAGTTCGGGGTTCTAAGTAAAAAAGAGTTGGAGCCAAAACTTGGGAATGGCACGGGTTTCAATTGAATCAGCCACCATTGGATAGAAATAAATCAACTAGTGTGTGATTGTCTTGCATCAAAACAGCAGAATGTCCGAAGGCATGGGAGCTCATTTCTCTATTTTGCGAAGTTGCCACACACACCTGCAACATGTCACCCGCGGCAACCAGACAATGCTGGATGCTGCACCCCAGTCCGGGCATTTTGCCGAACTTGCTTAGCAATAGTAAACAAATCCTTGCATTGCCCCAACGCAACTTGAGGTTCACCACGGCCAAGCTTCCATTGTGAACCAGGCCTCGGCTCCGCACATCTTCTAAGCTACCCTTACACGTAGAAAACCTACCCTTGGAAGCAGCATGATTCCAAAATTCTACGGTGAAGGGTAGTTTCCACGCGTGGAAGGGTGAACCGGGGGAAAGCTGTAGACATGAGAATGAAACCAAGGTGCAAGGAAACGAGTTTCTGCAAAAATTGCAGTGTACAGGGATGCTTCTGCCCGAACTCATCGCTGACCAACACAAACTGCTTTGCCAACAGCGCAGGCAAATGCAACTCGGCAGGGCCTTGCTTAGCAAAGGTTTCTGCATCGATGATTGCCTTCCCCAAATAAGCAGATGCCGCGAAGACTGCATGACAGAATCCCGGCCTCAGATTGCCAACTGTGGCTCCCATTAGTATTAAAACAACCCAGGCTTTCCTTCTACATGCTCAATTCCATCCCTTTATACGAAAGACTTTGCCCATTTGTCCAAGCCCCGGACGGTATGTTCGAAGCGCTTGGCATTGCTTGCAAGTGCCGCCAGGAAGAAACCACCACCAGCTCAGCTTTGCGAACTGCTTTCAAGATATCCATGGGCAACGTTGAAGGACCTAGCCGGCAAACGCTCGCCCTGCGATCCTTGGCCGCGTGGCCCCCAAGAGGCGAAGAGCGCAAATCCAGCAAGTTAAGGCTCGGCCTTTTGGTGTATGCCACAGCCTCAGGATCTACGTCTCGGCACAACAAGTGTCCCTTACGTAGGTTTACCTGGTAAGGGCTTTGCAATGGCTTCTCTATTCTCAGCTTTCTTTCATCCAACTTGGCGCTCTTGCGCTTTGCAGCGCATGCGTACACTGCCTCCAACCCCGACTTTGCTGGGTTTTCTGCCAAAGGCCGATGGCGAGGTAGATCTCTACGACGGAGACCAATCACAGTAGCAGAAGTGTCTGCCTGCCTTCTGGAAACCTGTTGGACAATCCTGTCTGCAGCTCTTGCCTGCGAACGAACAATTTCGACTTCTGTTCCTGCTTTCTTTGGTCGTGTCTGTCCTGCATCTTTCCTCTTTTTGTACAGCCGGAAGCGGCTGCCGTAGGAAGACCGCCACAGTTGCGCTAATTCCAAACTGAAATCAGTTGCTCGGAGCTGCGGTGTTTCATCTCCCGGAAAATAGAATCTTTGGCAAAAATCGGTTTCATCCGCAGGGCCATCCAAGGTGATTTCCAATAGCATGCTGGCAGTGACGCCGCTATCTTGCAGCGGACCCAAGTGAGAAGAGCAGATCTTGACTAGTTGAGACAACGCCCTTTCAGCCCCGGTGCTGGAGTCTGTGAAGCCTAAGTAGTACTGCACCAAACCAGACAAGTATCGGAACTCGCCAAATTGGGAGATTTGCGCAGCGAAGCCGGGCTCCAGGCTTTGCCTCCACGCATGTCTGTTGTCTATTTCTTCACCTCTGTCCAATGCTTCCCTGTTCTGTTGATGCAGCTGGTGCGCGGCAGCCCACCACTCTCTTGATGCTGCTTTCCACTCTGCGTGCCGCAGCCCTGATCGCAGGAGCCTCTCCAAGCGGCCTTTGGTGAGCAACTCAAAGTTTCTCCAACCTTGGACATCTTGCTTGGCATGGTGGAATGCAGCAATGTCAAAAATCGCGAAGTCCAAGGCAAAGCCACACAGTTCTGAATCCACCTCCATGATGGCAGATTCCACGACTGCATGCATGCCTAGAACGCATTGTCGGAAATCATCCTTGGAAGTCTTTGGCCACAAGTAATGGACTTTTGGGCCGTACAGGATAGGAGGGCACTGCATGGCCTGTTGACATATCAAACGCGTCACTGTTTGCACATCCTCCCCCACATCGTCCAAGATGTGGTTTTCCAGGAAAAGGCATTTCAGCCTGAACAGGGAGAAAGCAAACATATCCAGTAATTTTTATCGCTCCCTATATACCTTTACGTAGGAAGAGATATATATATATATATAGTTCAATGAAGCTCGACCTAGCATATCACACTCGCTTTCACTAAACAGGGTTGGCTCTGCAACCCTTGCCTCTCAAAAAACAAACGCTTCTGCCGAAGCGTTTTGGCAGGGTCATGGTCTGCTTTGTCAAACTCTCTGAGAAACCGTAGCATCTCTGAAGAATAGTCGGACGCCAGCCCAGCATTCACCAGAAAAGCTGGAGTCAGTCTTTGCAACATTGTCTGGCAATTCTGTCTGAAAGATGCCGTCAGCCGAGAATCCTGGGATTGGACCGCCAACAGCAGTGCAATGGGAACAAGCAAGGCTGCAAAGCGGCGCAAAGGGGCGTCTTGCGAGTTCCACCGAACAGGTGAGTAGTTCAAGTGCTTCAATGCAGTAGCTAAGGGCTTCTGCCATCCGTCACAAGACTGCGCCTCGGACTTGCTGCGCACGCATGATGAACAGCAACTCGAAAGAACAAATCAAGAACAATGCCCCACAGCGGTGGCAACACACGTCATGACGAGACCGGCGTTAAAAGAAAATATACACGGAAATCCTCAAAACTTGCAAGAAGAAGCAGCACTCCAACATGATTTGGCTCAAGGAACATCATGTTGAATTGCCCACAATTTGCTCTTCCACTCGACGGAATTCATCACATCGGGCACCAATCCCGCTGAGCCAAAGAGAGCTTCCCGAACTTCAGCCCACTGTTCTTGAGCTGCGCAAGGTCTCTCTGCGGCCAGCCTGAACCCCACAAATGCTATGAAACAAGCGCAAAGTACACTGCAGGGTTACCACATCCTTTCAAAAGGAAATTCTACTTCGAGGGACCCGCGCAGTGGCAAATACCCTGGCATTCAACGGCGTGTATTCAGATTTTCTTTCTGCAATCCTGGTTCGGGCCGGGCGGCGCCGACTGAGCTATGGAGCCTGCGGTTTGGGCCCTATCTGGCATCCATTGTAGCACCCGACTCTATTTGGCATATATCTTGGCATTCTTACCTGGCAAATATTCTGGCATCATTCTATCTGGCAGAACTTCTAGCATCCTCTCCGGATATACTCTGGCACTCTGTGTGGCCAATATTTCGCTTTGGCAATCTCTTTCTGGCACAAACCCTGGCATAACCTCTGGCCTACTATTCTATGTGACGTTCTACCTGGCTTAAACTTCTGGCCAGTCTACATCCCGCAAATGTTGGCAAAAAATCTGGCATTCTATCTAGCATATCGTATGGCGTTCAACTTGCCATATTCTGCAGGCAATCTGTCTGGGCAGCTTCAAACATTCTATCTAGCATACCTAACTCTAAATGAAATCTATCTGGTTGGTGCCCGGTGGTGCCCACTGCGATCTGGAACTTGGAGCTGCGGTCCGGTAGTGCCCAAAGCGATCTGGCGATCGTGGAGGGCGCGAAGAAGGAGGTGAGGATGAGGACATCTGGAAACCAAAAAATGCTGGGCTCTATTTTGGGGGCAGTGGCCCCCCCGAAGCAATTGAAAACGCGCGCCTGATTGCGTGGGCATGATCTCTGTGCACCAAGGTCAAGTTCGGGAATCTTTGGGCCAAGATCCGGCCAGCTTTTTGAACAGCAGGGCACCCATCAGCAGTGAAATGTTTAGTGATCTCCCGTAAATGGGTGAATACCCAAGCATCTGGGTCACCATGCAGAGGAGTAGCCAAAAGCTGGAGCCCTCTCTCAATAGTGTCAGCCATGCGTACAGCATAATCTTCCTCATGCCCTGCAATGGACTGCTCAGCGATTCTCAACACTTGAATGAGCCCGGAGCCGCCAGGTTCATGGCTCAAGTTGCTGTGGAACAGAATGACACGGTGGTCCTTCTTGTCATCCACAACGAGTGTCATTGTGGTAGCCCGGAGAAGGCATTCGACCTTGCGTTTGCGCACTTGCTCCCGCATGACCTTCACGATCTGGGCCACAGCTCTTCGTTTAACCTCCATGGGGTCCGACCGCTTCTGACTGATGAACGCTTCTGTGAAGGTCGATGACTCGATGCTGTTGAACGACTGAGATGATTTCACATACCTCCAGACCCGAAGGTAATCATCCAGCTGCGGAACTGCACCACTGAAAGCTTGACCTTCAGCACATGAAGCAGGCGCGGTTGCCAAGATGTGCTGCCCAGGGTGGAGAAAGCACTGCAGCGCTGTCTGGTGGACGCTGGAAAGGCTATGTTTCCTCAGGGCACACACACACACGCAAACAAAGTTTGATGACAAGAGTGACAACGTTGGAAAACATTCCGTCCTTACAGTGCTGGCTTGCATGCTGCAAAGGCTACTGATCTCGTAACGGCCCCACTTCGTATTCAATCGTCGCTTCAACTTCTCTGTGTTTGCTATTCTGGCTGCAGAGTGCCCTGCACTTTCAGCGACCAGGCGTGAGAGCATAGAAGCGCAAACATCACAACCAATGCCCCAAGACGATCCCAAGCGGTGAGGCTTCTCATTCAGCCATATGAGCTGCTTCTGCCCTGGGAGTTGCACAGAAGCGATGGTCTGCCGCCAGGACTGCCGATGAAGCAAGTAGCGGCAACGAGCACATTTGCCAGCAAATTGCTTGGGGTCAGGGTGCAGGCGCTTGTGCTCTGCGTGCCCATGGGACTGATCTCGCCTCAGCAAAGTAGTGATCTCCTTCCTTGTTTTGCTCTGGCCAGCTTTTCCTCTCTTTGCATCTTTCAAAGCACGAACAGGATGGGTAGCGGGCGATTTGCCGGCCTCACCCCCATACAAGCCATCTAACTCCCTGCCTCTTTTCATCTGCTTTCTGAGCCAAAATACAGGGTGTGGACTGCCTTCCCAAGAACGGCTGGCTAGGTGCGTTGTGTTGCGCTACAACTATGTCGTTGTGTTGCGTTGTGTGCATTGTGTTGCGCATCAGCCTTCAGCCACATGAACAGCAGAAGCAGCTACACACATAAGCAGCCAAGCACCGCTGCCAATTTCGCACGCCGGCCCACCCCTTCTCCAGCATGCACCACAAAACACAGATGCCTTTGCATCACGCATACATCTCTGACAAAGAGCGCTTGACTGGCTTCACGCGCCCATTGTGCTTTTTCTGATTCGGTGTCTTCGACACCCCCTTAGATTTTAACCCACGCCCACCTTTGACCTGAACCTTCCGCGTCTTGCGGCTACATGCTTTTTTGGGTTTCCTTGCTGTCGGTGGTCGGAGTGACAGCTTCGACCTTGACCACTGGAAAATCAAAGGCTGAGAAGCCTTGGGCCCATCATACCTTCCCGAGGGATTCTGCCGAGACACCAAGGACAAAGCCAACATCATGGCGGTTGCAACCGAACGGAGATGCATCCCGTTACCCGCCATGGTGTGCAAAGAAGAATGCCCAGCCGCGCTGGAAGACAACACATCCGCCGGCAGACCTAAGAGCTTCAACTTCTCCTGTGCAGAAAGGAGCCTCTTCTGACCATGCGCTGAAACCAGAAGAAGCTTGGAGCTGGTTGTCAAACACGGGCATTCGCCCCACCCCAAAGGCAACCGGTCAAAGGACTGAGAAACATCCATCACACATGGGAATCCTTTTCCTTTGTTGGCAAACAAAGCCATTTCAACTGAGCTGGCTTCTCTTGCAGTCAGGAAGCTGCAGGTGGACGCCAGCTGACAAGGTGGCATGCCCAAGCGGCTCCGAATGTCGTTGTGTTGCACCACCCACTTCGATCCGCCAGCGCGCGTGCCAAGTGAGCATGTGGGGGGTGGAGCTGAAGCCGTCACCTCACCCAGCACGTCCTTCAAATCCAAAGCTGGCAATGACCTACCAATTTCGGACATGGCCTCTTCGATGAATTTCCTGATCAAGCTGCAATCTTGAGTCACAGAGACATCTTTACGAAGCAAAATGAAATATATTCGAGGTCTTCTGTGCGGTTCCTTCAAGCATTGCTTCGGACATAAGGGAAGGATGCAAAAGAAATACTGGTCGAGGAGGCCAAATCTGCGGAACGCTGATAGCAAACGTTGTCTGAAGGCCATGATCCCCTCTACGTTCTCCATGACAATCCAACGAGGCTGCATATGAGCAGCGGTCTTCAAACTGCAAAAAAAAGACTTTGGCTCGTGGGTCCTTGAAAGCTCTTCGGTTGCAGGACTGCTTGGAGTACGGCTGGCAGGGGAAACCCACCACATACCCATCAATGCTGCGTGGCAGCTCTGACACTGAGCGTGCCAGCATGCCTTCATAAATGATCTTGGCTCTGCCGTTGGATTCAAGCCACTTGCGCACTGAAGGGTTGATGTCACTCGCAAACCTTATCATCTAGCAAGGTAACAAGTTGTGAAAAGGTCATGTCTGGTCTGCGTTTACTTTCTAACTGTTCCAAGCACATTCAGTGCAGACATGAGGCGGCTGCTCAAAAGGAATGTCGCATAGCTGGGCCGCTAGAATCGGCGTATCCAAGCCACTACAGTCTGTCGAGATCCGCTGCAAGATGCCCGAATCCAACAAAGAAACCGGGCACGAATTGTCAGCAGCCCATTTTGCTCTGGCTCGGAGAATGGCCGATCGCAGCAAGTTGCAGCGACCGTCTGTCCGCACAGTGACAGGCATGGATCTAAGAACGTTTTTCCATATGAAAAAACGGCTGCAGAAACAAGTTCAAATTACCTCCCAGACTTTTGACAGACAGCGAGGTAATTCCAAGAATGCAGGTGCCATCAATACCTCTTGCTCATGCTGTGAACAGTGAAGGAAACCACGCTTGCTGGCCTCCCAACAATTACCCACCAGCCTCGTGAAAGATCGTGGTGTAATCAGACCCACGACCAGCAGATCAAAGCCACTTGTCTATGGTAGACCTGCAGCGCGGAGTCTTCACATGCTCATATCTCGTCAAGGCGGGACTCAGCTTTTGTCTGCTGGTACAGGGTAAAGACATGGTGAGGTGATGGTGCTGGGAGCACCCAGGCGGTAAAGCACTGTTCTAAATGACATGGTGACCAATTCAATGCAATAATTTTTCCCCTGCAATCGGACACGCGAAACTGGCCGTTAAGGCAATGTGCGATCAGCCGGTTTTGGCGCACAAGCCTTCAAAACCAAATCTCTCCACTCCGCAGCCTCATGCAAGCGGCATGCTAGGATCTGCTCGGGCTGCGCATTCTTGCTGCGCCAGCCTGCTAAAGAAACTGTTCTGCCCACCGGACCCGATCGGCACATGGCGCACCAGTGCTGCAAGGATTCTCGCAAACTACCCTTGGCACCAATTGGCCGCAGCAACATCTTGCCAACGCATGCCTCATAGAGAGCACTGCCGGCCGAGAAAATGTCTACAGCAGGTCGCAGCAAAGCACGGCTCACATCACCAACATACAGCTCTGGAGGACGGTAGCCCTCTGTCACATACAGTATGTAAGCCGGCGGCTTGGTCTCTCTGGCACTGGTGAACTCCAGCATCCCGCAATCGGCCAACTTCATGGAGGACACAGCAAAATTCCAAAGCAGGTTCGGTGGCTTGACATCGAGATGACAAATGTGCAAGCCGTGGAGAAGTTTCAAGGCAGTTGCGAGCTGGCCTACCAGCAAACGCATCGCCTCGCCCTTGAACAACTCCCCTTTCCGCAAGTAAACATCCAAAGACAAGCCACCATGCTCCAGAGCGACCCAAGGGCAAGGCTCCGCAGAAGCATCCACGTCCAACAAGGCGGTAAAAAACTGATGGTAAGGAATCCCGAGCTCCTTGGAAAGTAAAGTCAGCCACCCGGCTTCCCTCTGCAAAGCTTGTGCCCCATCACGCCGCGTGAACAGCTTGACTGCAACCAGCTTGCTGGTGCTTTTGCAAATGGCACCATAAACTTTTCCATAGGCGCCATGGCCCAGCTTGTCTCGCAAAGCGTAATCGCCACAGCATGCAACAGGCAAGGCGCGGTGACCGCCGTCTGCCAAAGCGCTGTCACCTGTGCCCTTTGCAAGACCCTGCTTGCCTTTGGCAGCCCCCCTGCCTGCCAAGGAAGCCGGCAGCACACAAAGCAAGATTTTGCGCGGCACGGTCAGCGGCAGCCTTGTCCTGGTAGGCCTTTTTCTCTGCACACGGCAAAGCCTTCCAAATGGAACCAAGCCTTTTGAGTTCATCGGCGTAGTCTTTGCGGCTTCCATGTCCTTTGACCAGCCGGCATTTCTCTTGCACAAAAATTGCGAATGCTTTGCGGGCCCTGGGGGCCAAGCCATCTTTGACACAAGATTTGCGCACGCCCGGCCCCAGTCTAGGAGCTGCCTTCTTTGAAGCAGGCTGCGGCTTGGATTTACCATGTATCCGGTAACGAAGCGCCATTGCCCACAACCAATGACACCCGATCCGGCATCCTTTAAGCCAGGGAAAGGCACAGTTTTGAGCAACATGGATGGACGCAAGAGCTGCTGAAAGGAAAATGAATGAAGAAAACAAAACCTCTCGATTGCATCCACGGGCTAACTGCAAAGTGTTTCGAAGACAATCGAAGCCAACCAGGCCCCTGGCCTTGCAGAAATTCCAGCTGCGCAAGACAACCACGTTTTGTGGCAGACCTTGGTCACACGTTCGCGGGAATGCCCCGGTATATTAATACAGTAACAAAAACAAACAATAACACCAAGACTTGGAACGAGCAAAGCAGAAAAATAGAAGTCTGAGACACTAGGGTGCATCAAGTGGTTTACGATGCTCGGACCCTGTGGTTGCTGAGACACCCGCAGCTCTAAATCATGATAAAACCAATATAGTAAAAAAATATATATATATACGTGAATATATTTAAAGACGTCTACATATGCAAAAACACGACAACTACAACATCGCTTCGTATCTATATCTAAATATGTAAATACATCTATATGTTTTTGTAAGTATACTCATCTATACGTGAAGATACCGACATGGATGCACAGACCAGTGCAGCAGCGTAAGCCTCTTACAAAGAGCCCACGGGGCCCACACGAACACGACCGCAAACACGATCGAAAAGCAAATTACATATGTCTGCACCGAGAACCTGCAGAATAGACATATTCCATGTGTCATTTTCTTCTGGTCCAGTTCGCTAACGCTCTTGTGGGGTAGGACACTCTTGTAGGACACTCTTGTGGGACACCCTGTGGGTCCCTCTAGTAGGAAAGTCTTGTGGGGCACTCTTACGAAACACTCTTGTGGGACACTCTTCTTGGACACTCTTGTGGGACAATCTGGTGGGACACTCTTGCAAGACACTCTTATGGGTCACCTTCTAAACCTTATTGTGGGTTGCTCTGGTAGGAAACTTTTCTGGGACCTTCTTGCGGGACACTCTTGTTGGACATTCTTCCGGGACACTCTTGTGGGACACTCTTGTAGGACACTCTTGTGGGTCACTCTTGTAGGAAACTGTTGTATAAAAAACTCTTTTGGGGCACTCTTACGGGACACTTTTGTGGGACACTCTTCTGGGGCACTCTTCAGGGACAATCTTGTGGGACACTCTTCTAGGACACTCTTGTGGTTCACTCTTACAGGAAACTCTAGTGGGACACTCTTGTGGGACACTCTTCTAGGACACTCTTGTGGGACACTCTTGTGGATCATTTTTGTGGGACACTCTTGTAGGAAAATCTGGTGGGTCACTCTGGTAGGAAACTCGTGCGCGACACTCTTGCGGGACACCCTTGTTGGAAATTCTTCTGGGACACTCTTCTAGGACACTCTTGTGGGACACCCTTATGGGACACTTTTGTGGGACACTCTTGTAGTGCCCTCTCGTGGGTCACTCTTGTAGGAAAATCTTGGGGGTCGGTCACCTGATAGGAACCTCTTGTGGGGCACTCTTACGGGACACCCTTGTTGGACATTCTTCTGGGACACTCTTGTGGGAC